CGCCCCCAGTGGGATCCAGTTTCAGGAAGACTTGCTCCCTGTGGCCTCAGGGTCAGATCTGAAGCCGCTGGCTGTGCAACACGGGCGCCTGTGTGCACAGGCTGCCAGGGGCACCCATGTGGGAGGCAGTGGGAACAGTTCGGCTGTGATGGGGCTGGCCTCCCGCCCGGTCCGAGGCCTCCTGAGCGTCCTCTCCTGGTGACACAAGGTAGACTTCCGTCCTGGAGATGTGTAAGCCATTCCTTCGGAAGGGGCCCTCCTCACTCATCCCCAGAGCCCCTGACACCTGTCGAGGGTGCTGAGCTTGGGGCTCATACAGAGCCCCCAGGAGGCTCACCTGGTGACAAGACCCCGTGTGCTTGCAGAGGGCACCCTGGTATGGTGGCCCTGACATGTGTGATGGATGGAAGTCTGTGCGTGACACCCGGTGCCTCCCAGACAGCCCAGCAGGGACGCCTCGGCATCTCTCTGGGGAGGAGCAGCAAGCAGTCCGGTGTCTCCCAGTCCCTTGGGCCCACTGGCCACTCCTGGCTTCCGGAAGCACGGCTCCCTTGGGAGTCTCCTGGCCCTCCCACGCTCTCCTTTCGCTGCAAGGACCAGGGCCACAGGCTTTCTCGGGTTCTTGTGGATGTGGCCAGAATGGAGGGGGTGTGTGTCCCGTGGCTGGCTCCTGGGTGCAGGGAGCATGCCCCAGCTGGCGTGGACGGCAGCAGCCCCCACCCGTCATGAAGCTGCCTTCTTCTCCTGGAAGCTGGCCCTGCTCATTGGCCTGGAGACGGCACCTCTCAGACTCGCAGTATTCCTCCGGTTCTACCCCAGGCAGATGTTTGTCTGTCTAGGCTTCAGCGTACTGCTTCCAGATGAGAGAGTCCGCTCTAGGGTAGCAAACTCCGCAGCCCAGGTGCAGGAAGCCAAGGGAGAGACACAAAGACAGCGTCCGGACCTCGGATCCCATGGCCCCTCAACAAGCAGGGCGAGGTACCCGGCTCCCACTTCATTTCAATTCTGTTGGAAACAAAGAGCCGTCATTGAGGACTGAGGACTGTCAGTCCCACCCCCGGGGCTCTGCCTCCTGGGGGGCACCTGCTGGAGGCGGTGGTGCTCTGGCATCTTCCACGAGCTCCCAGCCTCCCTTCTTTCCCATTTTACCCTGGACATCCAAACCTAAATGTCTGCATGGCTCTCTGCTTGGAAAGAGTGTCAGAGCACAGGCCGCGGTGTTGTGGGGAAAGTGTGAGGCTCTTAATTAAAAAAAAAAATCTTACGCAGAAAAGAAAACCCCAGGGTCTCAAGGAAACCACAGGATTTCCTCCCGACCCAGTGAAGTGTCTCCGTTTGATCTTGGGAAGTGAATGCTCTCCTCCCTCTGTGCCTCAGTCTCTCCACTTCAACACTGGCTTTATGAAATAATCTTCCTTCACACCCTTGGGACATCCTGGATAAAACTGTCATTTTCTCACCCAGTGCAAAGTCTGGCTGAGGGCTAGACGCAGACTTACACACCTGACGCTGGAGGTTACCCCGGCCCTGCCCGGTGTCCGGGTCCTTCTGTGGTTCAGGACACGCAGTATTCTGCCCTCTGCGCGCCACCTGTTGGCCCCCAAGTTCCCAGCGGCTGGTCTCCGCGCCTTTGGAATGATGACTCTCTGAACTGTTTCCTTAAAAGTAAAGTGTGCTTAAGTAAATAGAAATTAGTTTTCTTTCGATAAATCTTAAAAGCCCTTAAGGAAAACGGGAATGCTTCATGGCACCGCAAACCAGGCCTTGGCATGAGTGGCTTTCGGTTGGGGAGTCCTCCATCGGGCCGCGTCCAGCGTTTCTGCTTAAGTAGGGGCGTGCTCCTGCCTCCGGGGCCACGGCAGATGCATTCTGGGTTCCGTGTGCTTCTGGGTGGCAGTGGCAGCCCCATCAGAGCAGATCTCGGGGGGCAAAGATGAACAGAATCTGCTTAATAAAACCCAGTGTGGGCAACTCTCAAAGTAAGAGAGAAACACACCGATTCCAAAACAGAGCCCCTCCCCCACAGACAGACGTCTCAGTGTCGCAGTGCGTCTCCTCAGGTGTCCAAGCCCAGCCATCCTCGGGAGCGTGGACTCCTGCAGTGATGTCTTCCGGAGACCGCGCAGTGAGACCCTGCCCCAGGCTCCCCGCCTGGCTGCTGAGGACCCCGCTCTTCAGTCACCCCCAGTGTTAATGCAGGATTCTGTCTCTCAGGAGAGAAATAAAGCTTGATCTAGAGGCCAGATGTGGGTCTGGGTCTGGGTTGGGTCTGTACCTCCCCAGGCCCGAGCAAGAAAGGGGTGTCTGTGTTCTGGGATGGGGACCATCGACCTCCCACCGGGTCCCGCCGAGGGTGTCTAAGGACAGTGGAAGGTGGGAGACCGAGACACAGGCCCGCGCAGGGTTCGTTCTGATCTCCCATTTGCATCACAAGGAACTATATCCACCATGTCACCTCCAGGCCTGAGCCCCCTCACTCGGGTGGACAGCTGGGGGAGTGCACGCACCAGAGGGGCTGTGCGCCTGGCCCTCTCGCTGCAACGTGGTCATGTGTGCTGGCCTGACTTTGGGGACTGCTGGTGGCCAGGGCGGGCAGAGTGGTGGAGTCAGAACCTCTCCCCACCTTTGCCTCATCCCCGTCCCCTTCCTCTCTGTGGGTTGGAGAGGGGAGGAGACATCTGTGCAATTTAAAGGTGAGAAGGAGGGACAAGGTGGGAGGGGGAGGCCTGGGGGCAGGTGGCTCCACAATAGGAGGACCTGAGTCCAGGGGTCAGGAGGGGTGTGCTGTACCCCTAAATCACACAAGAGGAGAGAGCCTGTTTGTGTGAGTGTGTGTCTCTCTGGGGTTGTCTTGAGGGGAGGGCTCTTGGGAGCTGAGAAACCTGGAATGCCAATAGAGCTGAAACCCCTGGGCTCCAGGTGGGATCCCAGGCTCCAGGTGAGACCCCCAGGCTCCAGGTGAGACCCCCAGGCTCCAGGTGAGACCTCAGGCTCCAGGTGAGACCCCCAGGCTCCAGGTGAGAACCCCTGGCTCCAGGTGAGACCCCCAGGCTCCAGGTGAGACCTCAGGCTCCAGGTGAGACCCCCAGGTTCCAGGTGAGACCCCCTGGCTCCAGGTGAGACCTCAGGCTCCAGGTGAGACCTCAGGCTCCAGGTGAGACCCCCTGGCTCCAGGTGGGATCCCAGGCTCCAGGTGAGACCTCAGGCTCCAGGTGAGACCCCCAGGCTCCAGGTGAGACCTCAGGCTCCAGGTGAGACCCCCAGGCTCCAGGTGAGACCTCAGGCTCCAGGTGAGACCCCCAGGCTCCAGGTGAGACCCCCCAGGCTCCAGGTGAGACCTCAGGCTCCAGGTGAGACCCCCAGGCTCCAGGTGAGACCTCAGGCTCCAGGTGAGACCCCCAGGCTCCAGGTGAGACCCCCTGGCTCCAGGTGAGACCTCAGGCTCCAGGTGAGACCCCCAGGCTCCAGGTGAGACCTCAGGCTCCAGGTGAGAACCTCTGGCTCCAGGTGAGACCCCCAGGCTCCAGGTGAGACCTCAGGCTCCAGGTGAGACCTCAGGCTCCAGGTGAGACCCCCAGGCTCCAGGCTCCAGGTGAGAACCCTTGGCTCCAGGTGAGACCCCCAGGCTCCAGATGAGACCTAAGGCTCCAGGTGAGACCCCCAGGCTCCAGGTGAGACCCCCTGGCTCCAGGTGAGACTCCTTGGCAGGGCCTCAGGGCTAGGGCAGGGTGAGGCCTGCTCCCTGAGGGGAAGAAAGGTGGGGAGCGGGCCGGACGCCAGACCTCCCCTCTCAGCCCTTCTTCATATTGGCTGCTGCCTGTGTGATCTCAGCTCCACTGGACTTGTGCTTCCTCCTCCCTGGGGCTGCTGTGCGCCCGAGTACGCAGCCAGTGTTCACAGAAACAAGACTTCCTGCCACCTTCAACCTGGGTTAAGGTAACGGAGCCTTACAGACCGGCCAGCAGCTGGGCTCACTGCGTCTCTGCATCCTGTCCCTCAGGGCTGTGGCAGCCCCAGCACCGCCCCCTGGAAGGCCGCCCGGACGAGGCCCGTGCCTGCTCCTGTGTCCCGGCCGCGCCTGGGCTGCTGTGGGCCTGGGGAGCTGCGGTTTGCTGACAGGGCTGATTGCAACCTCCGCATCGAGCTCCCCCAGCTGCTGTTAGAAGTGTCTGAGCCACGTCTCCGCCCGAGGGCCTCCCATCCAGGGCAGGGGTGTCCACTGCTTCCCGCTCAGGCCACAGGAGACCCAATTGCCTGTGCAGAGTTTCCTACTGCACAGCGGCTGTTCCTGTCTGTGGGGATCAAGCCCTGCCCTCATTACTGCACAAATCGAAACTCCTGTACGCCTGCGGAGGGCCACGCAGGAGCCACACCAGGGAGGCCCGCAGAGGCCGGATGCGTGTCAGTCCCTGAACGTGCCTACTTCGGGTTTTCTCGCCGTAAATGCAGGTGTGGACTGGTGGCCCTGTCTGGTCACTCTTTCACTCTGTCTGTAGATGTAGTGAGGCTCCCAGGCCCCAGGGGAGACTCCAGGAACCCAGTGATGAACCTGCACCTCTGAGACTGTTACCCCCTGATAATTCTGCCTAAAACTGCAGAGTGACTTCCAGTTTAAAGAGGACCGTCATGCTATCACTCCCAGCAACCTGTGAGTGGGGCAGAGCACACGGTTCTCACAGAAGGAGAAACAGACTTGGGGACAGTGTGCAGCCACCCCTCGGGGTTTAGGGCCATGGGAGCAAGTCCCAGGTCTCGACAGCTGGGGAGGTCACTGCGGGGATGCCTCCTGGACCTACGGCGGAAGTGTCCGTGTCTCTGAAGGCTCAGCCCGCCGTGCCATTCTTTTGCCCTGGGTGGGCGGCCCGGAGCTCAGGTTGGGAAGGGCTGAATGTTGCAGCCCATCTCGCAGAGGAGCAGGGGGCCTGGGGGACCCCAGGCAGCCAGCCTCTTATCCCCCCCACCTCCTCCTCACTGATGGAGGCGCATCTGTACCTGGTGTGTGAGGAGAGCCTGTGGAGCGGACGGCACTGATGTGCACAGATCACGGCCCGGGGAAGGCAGGGTGTGGGGGCAGGATGCAGTCTCCCTGTCTCGTGCTCCAGGGCTCGGGCAAGGACTCAGGGGCTCCCGCTGCCAACCGGAGACAGCCACCTCACCAAGCGCGGGAGGCTGTTCCTCTTCTGCCTTTTGTGTCAGAAACACGGTTTCACTGAGAATGGAAAGCACGGGGTTGAGGGGGGTGGTTCTGAGGACCCACAGGCTGCAAGGGCTTCCTTCCCAGGGACCGAAACGCTCCTCATCTCAGCTTCCCCGTGGCCGTGGCGTGCTAACCGGGTGGACGCGCTGTAACGGTCGGTCACAGGCGCTGGTTTGTGAGGTCAGCAACCACACGCGTAGAGCTGGTTTCCCGCTTTCTCCCCTAGGGAGGGGACACAGCACCGCACAAGCAAACCCTCCGGCTAGCCTGCTGGGCGCCTGGGGCCAGGCTGGGGGCTCCACGGAGAGAGGCCGCTCCGGGAAAGGGGCCCACGCAGGGCGGCACGCCGAGGCCGAAGGGCTGGGCTGCTTCGTTGAGCTGTAGGTTCCCGGCCCTCGAGGGGCATTTCTGCAGCTTGTTCTACATCCAAGAAGCTCCAGAACCGTCCAAGGCACGACGTCTGAGGACTCTGAGTGTCGTCTGCCCTGGTGGGATCTCTCCAGTCTCCGTGGATGTATCTCTTCATCCACGTTTGTGGTAACGGAGGTTGGAGGAGCAAGCTCGGGCCCGACGAGGCTGCCGACCCCTCTGCGGCGCTGCTGGCCCTGAGGCTCCTGTCACCTGAAGGAAAGGAACCGCTGGTTCACATGCTGCAGGCACCCAGGAGGCGGTCCACAGACGTCCCCTCTTGCTACCAACGACCTACTGCTTACAGGTTTAGAATATCCAGAACCACCAAGCTGACGCTCAGTGGTGTAGGACTTAGAAACGTTAAAATTTTTTTCTTTTTTTTCAAATGGTGAAACTCAGACAATGAACTCGTGTGAGAATGTCCAACCAGAATGACTTCCCCTGGCCTGGAGGCTTAGTTTCAAGGAAATCCAGTCCTGCCCAGGATTTATGTCCCAGATCTGGCTGTGCTCTGACCTAAAACAAAGCCCTGGACAGAGCGAGGGGGCTCCTGGGTTGGAACAGCCTCCCTCCTGCTGGTTGGAGCGCCCAGCCCGCAGGAGGGAACCGGGTGGAGAGCGGTGGAGGGGCCGGCAGGCGGAGTCCCGGGAAGGGGCTGCTGTGGGCAGTGGGGATGCCACCCCCTTCTTCCCCTCTGCTGGCTCTGCTGTCCACCCACAATTCAGGACCACGTCACAGTGAGAAAGGAGTAACTTCGGGGAAGAAGGACGATCTGCGCAAACGTACAGCACGTTCTAGAGGGAAGCTCCCCGCAGAAGCCTTGACGCGCTCGCGTCTGCCAGACAGACGGGGAAGGTGACAGCCTGGGACACTCAGCAGAAGGCGTTCAGCCCAGACACACGAACAAGAGGCCACACATGCATTTCACGTCAGGGCTTAAGAGCTGCGACAGGAATCAGGGAAACTGAGCACCTCGGTAACGTTTTCGGGTGGAGCAGTGAGTGAGAAGCGAGCTGCCCGTCGCACAGCGCCTCTGTGTCTCTGGGAGCTCGCGCGGTTCCCACTGCCCACTGGTCGCTGTCACCGTCACCTCACAGACGTCCTGGCTCCCTAGGAGTGGGCCGTCCCTCCCACCAGACGGCCCTCCCTCTCAATCTGCTTCTCCTGCCGGGCTTAATTGAATGTCCTGACGCGTAGGAAGAGGGTTAATGGCATAACACAGTCACACAATATCTTGGATTACAGACAGCCAGCAAGGCGAGGCCGGCAGCCCGGCAGCGAGGCGGGCACCGTGGGAACAGGGCGGCGGACAATGGTGGGATTGACAGTGAGCGTGGAAAGGCCACCTTTGGGAGAAACCGTACCCCACAGCGTGCGGGGAAAGTGAGAAAGAGGAGCAGATGCTGCAGGACCACAAGCAACAGATGCCTTCTGCCCGGGCGCAGCCAGCCAGCCAGCCAACAGCAGCCTGGGCAGGGGAGGCCCCTCCCCGCCCCCGCCTTTGTCGGAGGGAGGCAGCAAACACAAATATTGCAGAGGAATTGAAAACAGCAGATGGTGGCGGCAGGATTTGATGAGATCAGGGTCAGCTCGGGGCGCACGTTTGAGGGCGGCGCTAATCACCGCGCCTCTGGGAGTGGGAAGCTCAGGCCTGGCTCGGCCTTCAGCCACCTTGGGCTGGATTTCACTGCCCCCGCCCTGCCTCACCCCTCTTTCCACAGGCTGACCCCTAGATCGGCCTCTAGGTGTCCCATCGGATGTAGCAGACTTTAAAGAGAACATATGTCAAATATTTTGTTAATTCAATTTGTGTTTAAATAATTGATGTCAGCTGATTCCGAATGTGGACTTTTAAAGGCCTCACATGTCTGGTTTGATACATTACCTGTCATCCTACTGTGTGAAGTCAGTTGTTTCCATTGTAAGACGAACGTTCACTCCTTTTTCATCACGAGCTTGGACGTGTCCTGCCCCTTATAATAGGGCTTGGCCACGTCGTGGGGAGTCTTGTGCAGCTGGACCCCTTCCCAGCCCTCTGAGGATGGGTGCCACTCTCCCCACGTGAAGAGGAGGCCCGGTAGGAGAGCCACAGACGCCTGGAGGGACACGCGGCTTCCCTGGGACGGTGTGCGAGGCCTGCGCCAGCCTGGGCGTGACGTGAGTTCACGCCTTGTGGAAGTAAGACCCAGGTCTGAAAAGCTCTCAGCAGAGAGTGGGAAGACCCTGCAAGGCTGAGCCCATGTTCCCGGTCCCCACGGCCCTCGGGACCTTGCGACCCCCATCGCAGGCGGGACCTTGTGTCCCCGGGTCCCCACAGCCGGCAGGACCCTCACAGGGCCGTTTCACTGCTTTCTCGCCAGGGCCTGCGTGTCTGCGAGCTGGGCCACGTCCTCCGGTCCCACGAGCGCCCGGCCTTCTCCCTCGGTGGTGGAGCTGAGGTCTTTGCTCGTAAATAAAGTCTCTCTCCTTGAGGAAGGAAACCTGGATGTGATTTTTATACTTCAAAATAAAATGTACTGTTGGTTCCAATTCAGAAGTAACAGCCGCTCGTTTAGAAGCAGAGACAAGGAGGAGAAGCTTGCTGCTCGGCCGTCCACAGGCCCACCTGTCACCCTCGCTGCGTCCGCCCCACTTCCCCGTGTGTGAGTTTATGTTTGCGGGTCACACGCCACTTTCAGAGAGTTGCGAGCTACGACTCTGCCTCTTGACTCTTCTGCTCTGTGCTGTGATGTTAGCACTTCTCTGCCCTCAGCACCGTCTGGTCTGCGTCATATTCCATTGACGTGATAGACTTTTTTTAATGTTTCCTTTTCAAAAATATTTATTTGAAAATTTGAAATGTAAAGTTCTTTACTCTTATGGGTAATGCCTGTGTGAACTTGTTTTGCAAACAAGCTTTTCCAGAGCTGTTTGTCTCCTTGGCTGGTTTTCCAGGAGCAGGAAAGTGGGAGCAGATGCAGGAACGTGGGGAAGCTAGTGCCCCGTTACTCCTGTGCTTGAAGACAGCGCATGTCCTGCGGATAAACTGGGGAGGGAGGTGGCTGTCGACGGACGGAGGAGGAGAAGCAGCAGGTTACGTACGTTTTTATCAAAAGTGAGCTTGTTCACTTTGGTAACCAGTTTTTTTCTTTATTTGTGGCAAAAAACCCCACATAACGTAAGATCCATTCTCCCAATAATTTCCCCGTTACGGTTCCGTATTGTCACCACACTGCAACGTGGCAAGACTGTCGCCTTGCCGCGGGCACTTCTGCCTGAAGCAGGGTTTTACGACGTCTACAGAGCACCTTTCATACAGGTGTTCTAAAACCAATTTAACTAAGGCCCTGTTTTTGGTGATCAATGTCTAGCCTATTATTATTACTACTAAACAAATCTATAACTACTGTGCTGGTATAAAAGTTGTTGAGTAAATTTGTAATTATTTCTTTAAGATAAATTTCAGGAAGCAAAATTAGTGGTAAAGACAGAAGAAACCTTTTCCAGGTTCTGATTACATTTCTTCATCGTCCTCCAAAAATTGGAACACGTGTTTCCCAGCTGTATATGACAATGTGTACACCCTGTATCCTTGCTGACAAGAAACGTGGATACTTTAAAACTTTATGCAAATTTGGTAATTTTAACTTATATTTTTATCGCTTATGAAGGTGGACTGTGAAGGAGTATGTTCACTTGTGTCCCCTCTATTCCAGAGCACGCTCTGGCTCAGTCCCTGACGCCGCCGCCGGCTTCTCGGAAGCTGAGAGGCGGGCGCTGTGGGGGCTTTGGGGAGCAGGCTTTGCTGGGTTGTGTCTCAGACGGAACCTGGGTCTGGTGCCCACGACCCCACTCAGCTCTGTGTCGGGGGAGTGGTCCCTCCTCTTCCCGCAATTACAGGACTCTGCAGTCCGGTGGGGTTGCCAGCCTCCCCCTCTTTCCCAGCTCTGGGGCCAGAGGATCACTTGGATGGACAATTCTATGTCCTGAGCCTGCGGGTCTGGACTGACCCACTTTCTGGGCTGGGGGGCTCCTCTTGCATTAGGAAGCACATGGGGCTGAGTGACACCTATGTGTCCTTGAGGAACACAAAGGCCGCGGGGACCACCCAGAGTCACGCGTCCACGCTGCCGTGAAACTCCCCAAACTGCGGGCAAGACAGCGGTGCACGCGAGCTTTTCTAGGGAGACGGTTTCTCTCCTCAGCTTGTCCGAGGGATCGCGTCTCAGACAGTCGTAGGGCTGGAGGGTCGTGGGACCAGGGACGCTCCAGGCCCTCGGCCGCCTGCCCCCCGGAGACCGGGTGCTGCCCATCCCCCCAGGCTGGAGGGCCGCTCTGCTGGGTTGGAATTGCCTCTGAACAGGGTCTCCCATCACACGCAGACTCCAAGTTTACACAAGCAACCCGCTTCTGTCGGGCACTTTGGTTTGTGTGCATTTTGTCACTGCAAGTACGTTTGTTGTGGCTGAGCTCTCGTCCCTTCCGTGGCTTTCGTGACCTTTCTTGTTGGGGGCTCCTCCTGCTGTCCCACGTGAACCTTTCCCCTCAGAGGCCTGAGAACATGGCCTGCAGGTGCCCTGCACACTGCACACCTGGTCAGTGGTCAAGGCTGCCCTAGGCGACCGTGCCGACAGTCACTCAGGTGCACGGGCCCCCAGCGCAGAAGAAAACCGTGTTCTGAACTGGCCGCACTCTCCAGTGTCTGCCGCCCGTTTCTCTCTGGGGAACTCTGCCCCTGGACTTCCTCAGAAGAACATGCAACACCGGAGAGCTTCACAGAACTTTCTTCTCCGTGCTCTTGTCTGACTGTTGAAAAGCTCTGATGGAGAGGAGATGCAGACTCACTGGAGCAGAAGGCCCTCCAGCCCTGGTCACCTGTCCTGGCCCTCAGCTGCCTCCACTGCCCCTGCCACAGGCCGGCTTCCGCGAGGTGAGTCCCTCCCGACTGGGGACTTCACGCTGTCACCGTTACTGGTGGAGAGGCCAGTGGTAGCCACGTGCCTGGTCTGAAGATGGTCACAGCCCTGAGAAGCCCTCTTCTCCAGGGAACGGGCAATAGCAAGGAAATCTACACACAAGAGACCTACCATAATCAGTCTGGTCTTCCCCTCATGAATATGGAGCAGCAGACAGTCAAAGATCAGCAGACCTTCAAGGAGAATGCAAAGGAAGAAACAGCCTGAAGGAAGAGGCTCTGAGAAGAGGGCCCTGAGAAGACCCTCTACAAGGGT